TGGAACCTTCCCTTCAGTGTCCAGCTGACCCTCGAAGAACATGGGTTTGAACTGCATGGGCCGCTTAGACGCGGGGGTTTTTTATAGCACAGTACTGTAAATGTATTTTCTCTTCCTTATGATTTTCTTCGGAACGTTTTCTTTTCCCTTTATTGTAGGAATATGGTATATGATACGTAGGACATACAAAGTACGAGTTAATCGACTATTTATGTTATAGGTCAGGCTTCCAGTCAACAGTAGGCTCTGAGTAGTTAAGGTTCAGGGGGAGTCAAACGTTGAATGTGGATCTTTGACCAGCCGGGGGTCAGCACCCCTAATCCCCCTATTGTTCAAGGGTCAATTGTACCTCTTTTGACTATTCTAGCCATGTGCATGCATTATTACCCAATTCGAAACACTGTATTGTTAACTTTTTCAATCCTGCTGATGTGAAAAATACACACATATATTGTTCTAGAAACATATTTTACATCGTGCGGCCCATAATACGCATGTTCAATGGCCCGCATGTCCCCCTGCCCAGCAGCAGAGGCCTGGGATAGATGAGCTCTTGACTCACTCTGGTAACTCAAAAACTGAGGCAAGCACGCCCTTTGTCAAAACAACAGCTGTTTCTTGCACAACGCGTCGCACACTGGCCAGTCTCCGGGCTTATGAACGAGGAGGTGGCGGCCAGTTACAGAAAACGCCGCTCACCCAGGCCAGAGCTTTCCCAGGGAATGGCAGAGGAGGGCATCCCCTCAAAACGATTTAGAAATATTCTCCCGCTGGAAACAGCCGACAGCCCCAAGTCCAAAGTCATGGGAAGCTGGCAGGGCTGGTGGCGAACTGGCGGGCTCTGAACACCCGGGCACTTTCAACTAGGCTGGAAGTGGTAGAAATTGTCCTGGGTGAGTGTCTCACAGGGACAGGCACCTGGAGGCAGAAACTGCGGTTTTCTTTCAAAGTCATCGTGTGGCAGCCGATGCCAGGAGGTGACGAGGCCCAGTGTTTGAACCTGAGGCCCCGTGTGCACGGGCACACCCCCTGCTATAAGGCGGGTAGGCTCCCGCAGAGCCGTGGACGCCTGTAGTCCTGGCTTCCTCTCTGGCGAAACTTCTGGCAGGCTTTCCCTCCCATTTCTGACAGATCCTCAAAGGGCAAAGTGCCTAACTTTTTAACTTTCTCTCTGCCTGAACTCCGGCCTCTCAACTGAGTATTAAAGATTTATCAAACACAAGAAACAGGGGTGCCTGGGTGGCTCGGTCGGTTGAGCGCCCAACTTCGGCTCAGGACATGATCTCAAGGCTTGTGAGTTTGAGCCCCACGTTGGGCTCTGTGCCGACAGTGCGAAGCCTGATTGGGATTCTCTCTCACTCCCTCTGCTTTCTCTCTCTCTCTCAAAATAAATAAATAAGCTTAAAACACACACACACACACACACACACACACACACACACACACAGGAAATAAAATGTGACCACAAGCCTATTAAAAAGAAAATTTTCCCAAATAAAACAGGTCTTAATAACTTCAGTGATCAATTTGAAATCAATTTAAAGTAGGTATGCCTGCCGTTTGTCTGTATTGAACCGGGAGGGGGGGGAGGGGGGGTACCTGCAGTGCTTTTGGGAGACTCCTCTCATAAAGTCCCATTGCCAGGCCCTCAAGGGCTCCCTGTTCCTCCTGGGCCCAGGGAGGTGAGCCCTCTCCCCCAGCACCCTTGGGGTGGCCGGA